AACTGTACAATTTTGCAGTTTTATATGCAGTTTAATATGAAGTTGTATCTATTTGTTGTTAATAGTTACAAAACTGCATAATTTGATAGTTTGATTTGCACTTTAGAATAAGTTACCTATTTGTTTTGAATGGTGATTAAACTGTGTAATTTTGCAGTTTCGTTCGCAGTTTGAATAAATTTAGATATGTTACTTGTAAAGTGATAAAATAAAACTGTATGATATTACAGTTTTTATAAACAGTATCAATAATAAGAACAGTGCATTGTATTTTGTAAACAGCAACAATAACAATGAGAAGATTAAGTATTCAACGAAATGTAGCAACAATACGATGAAGAAAAGCCAATATTTAACAATAAGAAGAAGCAAGAACAACAAGAATAAGAATAAGGTGTTGAATGTGTAAAAACTGTGGATTAGAATGTTTTAAAACGGGTGATTAGAATGTTTTAAAACAGGGGATTATATATAAAAGAGGGTTTATACATTTTGAAGTATGTAAAATGTGTTTTGAATGAAAAATATTGGATAGGTGAAGAGAGATATTACTTTTGTTCCCCATTTCTGTGAATCGGAAGTCAGGGACTATGAAATTTCTTCAGAGTGGTGATGGTTCTTCATGTTCTTGAGAGTCGCCGAGTGGAGAATATGAACGGCTTGGTGTTGTGTTGAAGATGAACGGTTTCGTTTTGTGGTTAGGGTCGGGTTTCAGAGGGAGTGGAGTCGAACAGTGAAGAGATGGAGGACTGAGAATGCTTAGTCGAGCGGTGGAGATGTGACAGTGTAGTGATCAGACTGAGATGATCATAGGTGATGGTTGCGCGCGTGTAAATTGGATAATATATTATGGGTATTTTCTTCTGATTGATAATTTGAAAACTTAATGAAGTATTAAATTTGTTTTGGGCCTAAATGGGGCACGATATGTTGGGCTTGGACTTTTGGGTCAATTGCCCTTCTTGAATTGGGTAGTTGGATAGATGTTATACATGTTTTTTGTTTTGGATCTTTCTCTTTGTTTTGTTTTTGGGCTGCTAATACCAAAAATAAATAAATAAATAAATAAATTTTATTACAAAATGGCATATCACACACCTCAAAATATTAATAATTTTTAGAATAAATTACATTGATACCCCTGAAATTTATATTCATTATAGTTCTCCCCTCACCTTTTGAAAATTACATCCCCTTCTTTGAGGTTTAAAATTTCATTACAGATAGGTCCCTCCAGCAATTTAATTTTTTTAAATACCAATTTTACCCTCATTGGGTAAATTACATTGACACCCCTCACATTTTAGAAATTACAATCCCCTCCCCGAGGTTTAAAATAGCATTACCAATTGCCCCATCGGCTAGTATTAGTTGAAAAAAAATTCATTGAAAAAAAATTTTGTTAGTCAAAATTTTAAATTTCTTTTAAAAAACCAACGTAAATTTTTTTTTTTGAATTTACTTTTTTTCCTCAAATTTACAAACTGAGACAACCATATATAAACAAAAAAAATTATCAAACAAGTTTTTATGACAGTTTTTAAAATTTTTGTAAATATAAATTGAAAATTGAAAACGAAATGGTTACCAAACAGGCCTCAGATGGTAAAAATATCAAAAAATTAACAAATAATTAAATAAGTTACCAACATAAGAAATGGCTTATCAAAATATTCTTAGGCTATGTTTGGTTTGATTTTTAGAATTTTTTTTTAAATTAAAAATTAATATGGTTAAGAAATAAAAAATAAAAAATAATTATCACTTTTATATAATTTTTTATCTTTCGAGGGTAATAAACATAAACCTCAGGGGGGTTAATGTAATTTTTATCTTACGTTGGTTTTTAAACAGAAATTTAAAAATTTGACTAACAAAAAAAAAATTTCAATGAATTTTTTTCCACTAATACTAACCGAGGGAGCAATTGGTAATGCTACTTTAACCTTGGGGAGGGGATTATAATTTTTAAAATGTGAGGGGTGTCAGTGTAATTTATCCAGTGAGGGCAAAATTGGTATTTAAAAAAATTAAATTTATTCTCGTAGATAATCTCGGCCTAGCCGAGATCATTTTGGCATCATGTCCAGGACACGTGGCACCTCGGCTGACGCTTCGGTGCCACCTCGGCCACGTATTGTTACTCAAAAATTATGTCCCCACAGATTTTATGCAATAATTCTTGCAATATATAATTGTAAGATTCTCTTGCAATGGTTTGATTATTTAACTAATTATAAATTATTTTTAAACCATCTTTAAATACTCCTTTAATTATCATTGCAAGAATTATTACAAACAGAGGATCTTGATCTTAAGATCTTAGTGTTAGTTCAGTGTTAGACAAGACAATTCATGACAACTTGTGACTTTATTTGCATCCATCATTTTGACACCCATTTGAACCCTGAGGTTTTGCCCCTTGAAGAATTATAAAAATAAAAAATTAAACAAGCCTAATTTTTGGATAAAAAATCCACATGAAAAGGCCTTACCTAATTAAAATTGAAATATTGCAATGCGCTTAAAAGAGGGAAAATGATCATGTAGGCTTGTTTTATATTTTACGTGGTATGTTTTTACAATTCTATTGGTTATATATTTTTTTATTTTTTCTCCTATATATTACATAAAGCAACTACTACTATTTTGTAGACACACAACTTAACTAAAATTCTTGAAACACAAATTCTTCCTAAAAGGGGTGGATATGTCAAAAACTAATAATAATTACTCAAAAAACTCTGGCACGAGATGAAAGTGAAGATCTTAATACTTTAGGTTTTATTTGATTCATCGAAATGAGTTGAAATGAAATTAAGAGATTATTTTTTAGTCGTTATTTGGCAATTGACTTTTTTAGTTGATTTTTTTATTTTTGTTTTTAGCTATTTTAACTTAGAATTAAAAAGTTCGTTTGAGCTGACTTTTTTGACTTTTGTGAGAGCAAATATGAAATAATTATGATCTGAATGTGATATTTTATCTTATTAGTTTTTTAATTTATTTTGTCTTTTAGTGGCTATTTTAATTCCAATTTTTTTGCCAAACGAAGCCTTTGGCTCTCATATGGAATGGCCATTTCTTTGAAATGGTAAATGATAATTCCATTTGTAATAATTTTGTCAATTATTTTTTAGTTAACTAAACATGAGAATTAATATTTTGATAGAATAATCATTTCATTCTCTTTCATTTCAATTAACTAAACATTACTTAAATAATATACTGTACAAAACAAATCAAAAGTTTACCAGACAAATGAAAAGAGTCTATTGATTTGAATGAGATGATTTGATAAAAAATGACAAAAAGTGAAGAGTATACTTCGGTTTAGCAATTAGGAAAGAATTGATGTAAAATAATGTGAAATTGTTTAAAAATAAAAAATAAAAAAACTCATATTTGTTTATTTTATTTTTCACTGAAAGTGATGATATATTTTTTGTCAATCAATATGAGATTAATTACAAATTAAAAAAAATATCACATCAAATTTTAAATTGAACAATCAAAGCCTAACAAATAGCTTCATGTAACCTCCCTAATGGTGAAAATTTTTGAGAAACAAATTAATTGAATAAAAAAAATTATAATACTGAACGGTGTTTTGAGAAGTTGATAAACGTTAACTTTTTGACTTTTTTAGTTTATTTTGTCTTTTTATTAGTAAAAAATGTGATAGGTAATGTGACGCAAAATGAATAAAAACCTAAAAGTTGATTTTTTTTTTGGCTTCCCAAAAGACCCCTGAAATTGCCCTTAAAATGCAAAAGAAAAAAATAATCTTAGTCATATCCCTTTCTTACTATCTTTACCTTCTTTCCCATCCAAACATGGTAATAAAAAATAAAATCATCTATTTTCGTTTCTCACCTAATTATTTTTTATTTTTTATTTTATTTTCTCACCTGTTATACCAAACCGACTGTAAATAATTAACTAGATTCTATGTGGCATACAAATTCTATGTCTAAATTAAATTATTAATCTATACCCCAATTTTCTTCGCGCCCAAACAAACACTACTTAATTAGTTAGGTTGACCTAATAGCATCTTAGCACTCTAACTATCATTTGCAGTGCTAAAAGTAGTATTCAGTTCACTAAAATAAAGTACAATAAAATTTCATTAAAATAATCAGTTTCATGTTTAGTTAACTAAACAAATAATAAAAGTTATATTTCAGATAGAATTATCATTCATCATCATATAAGAATGATCATTTTTTAGGAATATCGTAAAATTTTACTATTATTTCCATTATTCAGATTGAAAAAAAATATATATATATATATCAGTTCCAAAACCTGTTTCTTCACCTCAAAAAAAACATAAACTTTTCGATTTAAATTAGAATTAGAATTTGCTAATCCTCCTCTAAAAGCTGTACACTAGTATGATTTTGCCACTGAGTAGAGTAGGAGAGAAGGATTTGCTCTTCTTATTCAAATCCAACAGTTAAATTGTTATAGATAGAGAGGACCAACAAATGTGTTTTGTTTATTTTTTATTTATTACAAAAAGACGTAAAAAAAATAAAAAAGTAATATATGATTCAAATAAACTAATAAATAACTTATTTCTTGCGTCTCCAAAAGAGCTCAACTGACCTTCAAATTCAAATTCTACAGTTCAAGTAAGCAGTCAGTGAAGCTAAAGTCAAATTATGACTTAACCCGTCTCGTGAGAGGGCCTGCAAATTCTTCACATTTATTGCGACCATCTAGGCCGCTTACATCTGGTTTGCTGGGCCATCAAGGCCGCTCATGTCTAACTCCCCCAACAAGTAGGAATAGGGTTTTCTCTAATCACACCAGATCACCACAGGCTGGTCAATACCCTCCTACAGTTTTACAATAGTATACCAACCAACTAGACACGGTGTTAAATGGATCCCATATCAAGTTGCTACAAACACTAACTAGTGTACCAACAAAAACATCAACTAAGACACGAGTTGCATTTGGGATTGAATAACCAAATTCAAGCCTACCCAAAGAATAAGATACCAGAATATTGCATTTGAGAAATTATTAGGAATAATAGGGACAACATGCTGCTTTTAGCACAAGAAATCATAGTCTTTAATATTTTTGCACATAACATAGAAAAATAACTACTTGTAGCTCAAACCCACAAACTGAATTTGTTGGAGATCTATCCAGGTTGTATAGGGTATATATCTGCATAAAAAATAACAATTATCTACTCATGCTTCTTTCCTTTATCAAGCTTTCCTTTGGGAATTTTGCTGAGGACACTGGCATCCACCTTTCGATATTGGTGCTGAAGCTGGTCGAGCACACTGTATACAAAGCCATCAACTTGGTCTTCATACCTCTCATATAGAACTGGCAGCGTGTGAAATGCAACAAAACCTAACAACCCAAAAACAGAATAAATTAATAAATAAATAAACCATAATAGTTAAGGCTATGTTTGGTGCTACATAATAGCTCAATGGTAGTTAAATAATAACAGCATCTAATAAATGTGATACCCAAGACAACAAAAGAAAAATGCAGAAAACAAGCAAGGTTTTAGCCTATAATCTCCTATTTTTATCATGAAGACAAAACAACTTAAAGGACCGTCACTAGATTCTACCCATTGTTCATCTAAGCTTCTATAATAATGAATCACAACTTAACACATGAAAGTTTACGAGTAAACTTGAACAAGGTTCAACCTACCTTATTTCCAGAAATTCAAACAGGAATTCAGGCAATGAATAAAGTTTGAATTTTTCCAGCTTCTCAGATCAGGTTCATTGAAATTTCCTTGCATTTTCCAGTGAAGAGGTTGAGTATTGATCAAGGTTTTTAAGTAACGCGAAGCCAAATCTCTCTTCCACAGGGGCTAGGAAAATCGAAGCTAGCCCTCTATCAGAGATCACACCCAGATGCCTAACATCCTACAGAAATAATCCAATCCATTCTATTATAACCTGTCATAATGTATTCTTACCTTCAACCAGAGCGTAACAGTGGCAACGATGTGGTTGTGGGGTATAACGACCGTAGCATAATGGTGGTGGCAACCAGAGCTGTGAATTTTTTATTTCTTCACACAAATATGAGAAAACTTACCAAGAGATATTTTTATTTCAGAATCATATGTAAATGATTTTTTTTAGTGAATTTTCTTCAGTTTTTAAACATGACAAGATATATGTAATTTTTCTTTTTTTTTTTGGTTACACATGACGTAAATTGCTACGAAGATTTTTCATTTTTTTGAATGTGTCTAATTTTTTTATTTTTTTTTTTTTACTTTAACTAATTTTACTTATGGAAGTTTCCCCTTTCTATGAACAAAAATAAAATAAAATCATGAAGGTAATATTAAAAATTATACTCATAAACATAAGTTCATAATACAAATGCCAACATACTAATGTAATAGTACATGAGAAGACATCCAAGTTTTGTGAACAAATTTAACCTAAAACCATAGATATAAGTTAACAATCAAGTGAGAAAGTAATGCAACTTTGTTGATCAAAAAACAAAAATAATGAACAATTGAAAAGAACATAGAACTAAGCTCATTTAACCTTGATAGCAATCAAATCTTCTAGAACTTGAAGATTAAACACTCAAAGTATGTAGATCTAAGATTTCTACACAAGTTCTATGCATCTTTTCTATGACTTCAACTACTTAAAAAAAGAAAAATGATAAAAAGTGTTCTTATATACAAATCTGTTGAAAACATGAGTGTAACGGCCATTACAACCTTTTTACCTAACAATGGTGGACGTTACCGTTGTAAATTTTGGTCCCACCACTATAACGGCCGTAACGGGTGACAGAAACTACCGCAACCATTATGTAATGGTGTTATATAACGGTTGCTACCCATTTTTAAAACCTTGGTATTGATGAAGCCGGCTGACTTATTTAAACACAATTTATTCCCCAATTTGATCCCATCCCCCATAACATATACAAAATATTCTGAGGGTTTCACCAACTGATTGCAAATGCTTAAGCATGCTATCAAGTGCACATCCAGTAACCAGTCTAGAGCTTATTTCATAACAAACTAATTTCACAGAAAATAGCACGATGTCTCACCAATATACATGACAGTCAAAAAGTTGCACCAGCTTCCAATCACAGCAGCAGCCCACAAGCTTGCTAAAACCTGGAGGGATTTCCCAGGGTCAATTCAGTTATTTAAAGATGACACTCTTGTAATAATAAACATAACATTGATATCTTAACATCATGAAAACACTGCAAGTTTGGTAAAGAAACTTTAAGCTGAGATAAATATTTTAAAGCAAATAAATTTGCATGATTAGTATTAAATTTTGGAAATGAAAGAGAAGAAAAATCTACCAAACAACATAAACAGGGCTTTCCACACTACATATACAGTTGTAAGAAGTTGAGAAGAGACCAGATTTGAAGAATAAACTATGATAGTAAAGGGAAAAATAGATGGTAAATAATTCCATGTTTTAACCAAGCATCCTCATGTGTGGTGTTCCAGAATTTGGAGTAGCAAATTTCAACAATATAAATAGGTTAGAGGGCAAATCAAACGGTTTGCAAGCATATGCATGACAGGGAAAAGCAAAGAAAATAAAGAAAATTGATGTATTCAAACATACAGCTAGAAACTGCTTAACATTTCCTCCACATGCCAAATCTTGAAGAAACCCCAAACCTTGGTTAACCTCGGCACCAATTGACTTGGCAAAGTTGACAAATAATTCATCAGGTAGAACAAGACGAGGGGGTTTAGATTGAGACCTGTTACCAAAGAGAAACATTGCTGTAAGTTTGGTGTTTAAACACAAAAGCATACAACAAAATCAAGAGAATTTGAGAGCACAGATACTGCATGTAGCGGAATCACCTGTTTAATAAACCTGAACCATTTGACCAAAGAAACTGAGCTAGCAGGCCAAGCCCCAAAGCAAAGCATACGAGAGAGAGAAAATGGTAATTAAGCCATTCAAAGAGAACCCAGACAACTGTAACAGCACCTAAAACACCTGCAGAAATCTTCTTGTTCCTCCATAATAGCACATCAGCAGCTACAGATTGAAAACTGAGAGCTAATAAGAGCGAACAAGATGGTGAAAAGAAAAAAAAATAAACATAAGGCATTAAAGGTCCTACATTTTCCACCACCCAAAAGATTGTGGACTGGCTTCTGGCGCCCAAACAATTTATTGAACTGAGTAGTGACCGATTTTGATATCTCTTCCTCAGCAAAAGAGACAGATTTCTTCTTGGAAACACCTTCAGCGAGTGTTTCCTTGATGTTGTTCAAAAGACTCTCAGCAGTTATTCCCTCAGGCATTGTTCCCAATCTTAAAAAAAGGACAGTGAAACAATCATTACAGAGTGAACTTTAAAGCTTCGAAATGGTCATTTGAAAGGACACACACAAAACAAAACAAAACAAAAGATAAAGAACCATTGAATTCTTGAAACCGCTATGCTCATTGACTAAATCTAAGGGCCCGTTTGCTCTCAGAGGTAGGTTGGGTGAGATTGTTAGTGATAGAATTCTTAGTGAGGAGACTGCTAGTGAGAAGACTAAAAAAAATTATGTTTATTTGATAACCAGTGGACCAGCAATAATTCTTATTTATTTTGAGAAATAGGAATGGGATTAACCATGTAAAATTCCACAAATACCCTTATTGCATTACTATCAAATTTGGGTTTATACCAACTAATTAATGCATTACATATTTTAATATTAAAAATATATTTTATTAACGTTAAAATTATATTTTAATATTAAAAATTATATTTCATAAATATATATTTTTTTGGTACTATTATATTTCATAAATTATATTTTTTGGTAAAATTATTATTATACTATTATATTTTTAAATTAAAAATTATTTTTATATTAAATTATTTAGATATAAAGATTGGTGGAGGAAAAAATGGCGGAATAATAAATAATAATAAAAAAAAAAGAAGAGAAAAGACCATACTAATCGAGTAGAGCAAATAAATTAGCTAGGATAATAGAGGGCAAAATAGTAAATCTCCCTCTAATCCTAAGGGATTATTTTTTTAATACCATCTCCTAAGGGAAACTACTAATCCAATCCATGGAGGCCTATCATAATCCCAAGGTATTGTGAATTCCCTTCCTCATTTTGCAAACAAACTTAATATTAATAGACCCCACATCCATCCTAATCCAATCCCATCCCCTTCCCCTTGTATCCCAAAACAAACGGACTCTAAGGGTTTTAGTTCAAGACCATAACGGCAGTGCACAACACCACAATGAAATATTGTATATAGATTGTTCAAAAGCTCTGTTATTAGAATCGTACGATTCGCGATTCGAATCGTACGATTCGATTCAATTCAGTAGGTAATCGATTCGAACAGGTTGTGTGAATCGCAAATAACAATGAATCGTAGGTGAATCGGTGAATCGGCGAATCGAATCGGTGAATCGTGAATCAATTCAATTCACTAAAATCGATATTTGGCTTTCTTTTTTGAGTTTTTATTGTTGGAAAATGGTTCATACAACCTTTTTAAGGTCTCTAAGATTACTATATGTCATCTTTTGACTTTCTCTTCCTCCCTATTTACTCTCAAATACACAAACTTTAGCGGGGGAAAAAAAAAAAGAAACTTTCTCTCTCTACAATATTCTAGGCTTACATATTCAATTTTATCTAAATACTTGCATTTACAAAATGAATTTTTTGAAGGCATCAAGTGAGATTTTTGAAAAAGTTCGAAGATTTTGGTTTTTTAACCTTGTAAAAAGTTAAAAATATTGTTTTTGAGTTATTGTTACTTGGAAATTGAAAGTTTGTCTTCGTTTGCTTTCTTCATTAAGAACAGTTGATAATAAATAGTATCTAAAAGGGAAAAAGGTGAAGTGGTAAACATTGGAATCAATGTTAACTTCTTACTTAAACCACATGATCATCATTTAAAACAATATTTTTAGCGATTTGTGTCTAAATATTTCATATTTATTAGATATATTTAATATCTAAGTGTGTAGATATATTTTCTATATAATTAAAAAAAGGTGACCGAATCTTTACGGTTCGATTCGCGATTCGGTACAATACCATTTCGATTCACGATTCGAATCCCGATTTGACAACTATGTTCAAAAGCAAACCTAAGCAGGTTGTTTTTCACCTTTTTATCTTTGAAGAAACCCAACTTGGGGCAATCACATTAATCTGTGAACACAAGTTCACCAATAGCACTCACAATCAAGTTAATGGATATAAATCCACTTGAACAACTTTAAGCAACACATCCAATCTTCATAAACACAAAAGAAAAGAACATATAAACAAGGAATATAAATAGATCCAGATTCTAGTATCAAACCAAACATTTAAAAAAAAAAAAAAAACTCTAGTTGAAATCTATTTCATCCTTCTATCATGAATCAGATAACCCAGCAGCCAAAAGTTCACAAATTAACAAACATTAACAGAAGAAAACCCAAAAGTACCACATGAAACTCAAACCATGATTAATCTTAGGTACTTCTTTTGAAGAACTAATATCACACAAGTGCACAGATGAAACTAAAATTCACAAAGAAAGATAAACTAAATGGGTACAACGTGAGAGAAAAGCAAAACTCCGGTTGAAATCAATTTAAACCTAAATCTACCCATATATTTCAAATCCAGGACTGCAAAAAATTTCCAAAAATTATTATTAAAAAAAAATAAAAAACCAGAAACCATAATTTCACAAATTAACTGCAATCACTAAATGAAATGGAGAAATAGAGAGAGGATATGGAAACTCTAGTTGAAATCAATTTAAACCATAAATGAAACCATATATCTCAACTGCAAAAAAATTTAGAATAACTAAACAACCCAGTACCCAAAACTACCCAACAAATGATATCAACAGGAGTGAACCCAAAAACAGCCCACAAAATTCAAACCATGATGAATCTTAAAACACCTCTTTTGCAACACTAATACCCACAAATAAATGCACAGACAAAACTGAAATTTACAAGCAAATTATCACAAACTACGGGGAGAGAGAGAGCACTGACTAGACAGGCAAAGGATTGGATTTCTGGAGAGAAATGCAAGGCAATCTGTATTGGGTCTAGATAGTTTGAAAGCTCTCTTTGGATGAATCGAAGAAGGGGGGAGGGGGAGACAGAGAGACGGAGGCGGAGAACAGTATCAAAACTGCAGACAAAAAAACATGAATGAGGTGCGTATGACATCTGATTGACCCTTATCCGGGCCGCCTCTGGGCCCATTCAACTTTATACTTTATGCTTGTTTTTATAAACTTTTACCCTAGGTTGACCCTGTTTTCAATCAATAAAAATAAAAATAAGAACAAATCAGGACGGATCAAGAATTTGAAGTTTAATATTAATTCCTATTAACATGAAAAAAATTGTTACCATAAAATATTGTACTATATATTCCTTATTAGTATAATTAAGTATAAAAAGATGATCATATAATTAAGAATATTTTTTGAGTGATGCTATTAGCATTCTATCTATTATTTTGGACTCCTCATTTTTTTGAACCACCACTTATAAATTTTGAAACCTTTAAAATTTCTTTTCTCCTCTTAAATAATACCAAAATTATTATTGTGAAAATATTTCACTCATTCAATTGAATGCACACCCACACACCCCAAAAAATTCTCTCTTCCAAAAACCCTAATAAAACCCACGAAAAAAAAAGAAGAGCGAAGTGTAATTATTGTCTTTGTCGCATCATCATTTTCTTCAATTTAACCATTGTCATAGTTGGTATGCTCTCTCTCTCTCTCTCCTCTCATCTCTCTCTCTCTCCTCATCCTTTTCTTCGGTGATTAATGTTCGATTATCAGTTCCCGAACAAATAAACAATGTTCGATTACTAGTTCCCGAACAAATAAACAATGTTTGGCCCTGTGTTCTCGAATTTTGGTCATATGTTTGGGAGATCAATTCCAAAAAAATGACAAACAGATTTTATTATTTTTGTCATTTTTTTAAGAAACTTACCCTTACAAGACCAATCTCTTCTGAGTTAAGAACACCATCAGAGTTATGAACCTCCTTTGAACTTTTATTGTTGTACTTCTCTCGTCTCATGGAGTTGTGATTGTCGAAAAAACTTCCACTCATTATCATTGCTAGAGAAGTGTAGGTATTTAAATGGTTACTACCGTTACCGCCGGAATATTGCGACAAAGGGTTTTCAAGGTTTTGAGAGTGGATAAGTTTTGAAGATAAGATTTGGAGAAGATGGATGGGTGGTGATGATAGTGGGTGTTCTCATAAACCCTAATTCATGATGTAATGGGTGTGTGAGTTTAATTGTGAGATGGGGTGTCCCAAAATTAATGATGTCTTTTTTAGTAATTTTATTTGAGGTTATTATTGTAATAAGAAAAAGGTTAAAAATTGAAGGGTCTAAAATAATTCGTAGGGTACTAATAGATACACGCTATTTTTTTCTATATTCACTTACAAAAAGTAGTAACTATTTTTACATGCATTTATTTACTAAAATTAGACATCTTCAATTGAGCTCAACGCTCTTTCATAATATCAAAAGCATGAATGATATAGTCTACATCAAACTCTCGAGCAATGTCTTTTTCAATATATGTAATCAAGTAACTAGCCAGAAAACCATTTTCCATCCTATTGCGCAATTTAGACTTAACGAGTTTCATAGCTGAAAATGCATGTTTTGATGTAGCAGTTGAAACAGGTAAAGTCAACACAAGACGGATCAATCTATCAATAAGAGGATAACTTGTTGACTTTTTTGTTTTTGCCAACATTACACAACTCAGAAATGGTTGACAACTTCTAAAACTCGGGAAGTATGGAAATATCAAGTTTATAGTTTTTCAACTGATACTTCAAATGCAATTTTTCTAGCTCGGTGAAATCCATAGGATAAAATTTATTTGCAAGATTGCAAATATCCTCAATTTTGAATGATCTATAACCATTCCTAGGATCCAAAACTGAGTTAAGAACAAGCAATTCCATTACATCTTCCTTAAACCTATTGTTTAATTCTTGTAACTGAGAATCAACTGTAACCATAAAAATATCAACTTGAAAATGATGTTCCACGGTGAGCTGATCTCTTTCAGAACGAGACCGACCTCGGCCTCCTTTATAAGGACAGTTCATATCAGGAATCTGTATACCATAATCACTAGAAAATAATTTAATTTTCTCCAATAATGGAACCCATCCATATTCTCTAAATTTTTTAATAAGTATCTTCGTTGTAGATACCAAATGCATTGCATTTAATATATCTTGAGATTTACTTTGCAAAGCTTGACAAAAATCATCAGTAATCTCCATGATATCCCTCCTAAGATGTAAGTTAAAGACAAACCCAAAAGATGTAATGGAATCATAAACTCCATTTGCCTCAGCTCGTTGATTCAATTTGCTTTCATCATTAATTATGTTTCTTAGGACTGCACAAGTAGCACTGAACATGTTTATCAAACTACAAATGGAACCCAAATGAGAACCCCATCGAGTATCTTTAACCCGTTTCAATGTTCCAATCTGATTTTTTACTTTACCAGACTCGAATTCATCATCAATGGCAAGCATTTCAACAATATCTGCAGCTTGAGTAGCTCTTAATTGATCATGTCTTTTACAAGATGAGCCAACTATATTAATTGCTTGAGTCAAGTAAGAGAAAATTGATTGACAGATATAACCTGTTTAGATGCTCTTACTAAAGCTAATTAGAGCCGATGAGCAAAGCAATTAACATAATATGGGAATGGACACTCAGCACAAAATAGAGCCTACAACCCAGTTCATTCTCCAGACATGTTGCTGGCACCATCATATCCCTAACCACGAATATTTTCCATACCAAGGTTATGACGAGAAAGGACAATACAAATTTCTTCTTTCGAAGTTGCTGACGTGGTATCTTTTATAAAACCATATTTATCAACAAATCTCAAAACAATTTCCATTTGCTCTCTTTTTTATTCATCTTCAGATTCATCAAGTAGAATGCAAAAAATCCCATCATTAATCTCCTCACGAATGAATTTTTGTATCTTATCAGAGAAAGTACTAAGAATCTGCTTTTGAATCTCATGGTAATGATAGGAAGCATTTTGAGGAGCATTTTCCAAAACCACTGCTGCCACATCCTCATTATAAGAAGCCAAGAGCTTTATCAACTCAATAACATTCCTTCGGTTATTAGATTCATGGCGTTCATTGCGACCTCTAAAAGCACAGGCTTGGAATGTTAAACCATTTAATCACATCTAGCGAGGTCTTTAACCGCAAACGATTTCTAGCAATTTGTATGGAAGTTTGTTTTTTAACAATTGCCTCAATATGTTGCGCTTGATTTGTTAAATCACAATAACATTTGACAGCAACTCTTTGCGATGAGTTAGGATGCTTCCATATATGCGATAACAGAGGACAATTCTTCCCTTCATTGACTTTCTTCCAAGAAGAAAATCCCTCCATCATAAAAGCACTAGATCTAGGGCGTCCAGTTGGCTTAGTAAAAAGAAAACATGGAAAGCAAAACGCGCGATTTTTTGTTTGAGAGTATTCCAACCAATCCGGAAATAATTTATACCAAGAATCTACAAAACGACGTCCATTCTTATCAGTTTCAAAAGGTTGATTGTTCGAAGCCTTGGGCTAATATGGCCCGGATTTTATATAAGTACGTCTGATCTCATCACGTTCAGATACCGAGCAATCCCATATTTGTTGACGCAACCCTGGATCCTTCACCAAAGAAGATGTATCAACTTCTTTAGTTCGACTCTTAGAAGTTTAGAAGGACGTTGTTCCAGAGGAGTTGAAGTTTCAACATTATTGGTGGAACTTTGAACGATATTTTCAGAACCTCTTTTCTTAAAGAAGGAATCGATTTTTTTGTTTGCCATGATTAACTTAACTTTCAATAATTATCATTCAACAACTTGAAAGCAATTAAGAATAATTATTATTATTATTGCACTATATTTTCAATGTAAATAGACTCTAAAAAATAACTTTCAGAATCTTATATGCTAGCACAATCCTATCATATTCCTAAAAGTCATAAAATATATGGCAGCACAAAATAACATTTAGATTTGTATCCAAATTCTTAGAGGAAATCAACAAATCATAACCTAAAAGCCTATTCAATTATTAAGAAATCACACAGTACTTACCATTTACAATAAATCATAGTATTCAAAAAAAAAATCACAATATTTAGTTAATAATTGTACCGATAACAATTATCAGATATTCATCGCACCAATAACAAGTTAACAACCAATAACAAATTAAAAGAAAAATAATCACATTATTCAATTTAAAATCATAATCACAATATTCAGTCTAAAAGCAGAATAATCACATTGAAGGGATATCAAATAACTTACTAGTGAGAGTCTACGGTTCCACCGTCCACGCCGACAGATCCGACGAAGCCTCCACCGGACCACCAACAGACAGTCTAACAACAAAGCTTCTCCATTTCTTCCCTCGTCTCTCTGCTCCTCTTTCTTTCGCAACAAGTCTCTCAGTTGTTTTCTTTTCTTTTTTTTAATCTTAGTGCGTTTTGTTTAAACAAGCTTCTCCAGCAAGCCTATTATAGTTTATATATTTGTAAAAATTTCATATTTTACACTTTGACCTACTAAAGTTTCTAAAATTTTGCTTTCATCTTGACTTAATTTAAAAAATACATATACATGAAATTTAAAATAGATTATTATATATGTTAACTAATTAAAAAAAAATTCCAAATAGTTTAAAAAATTAGGGGGCTACTCTATATAATTTTGAAATTATCTATAAAAAATTTGGGGGTGCGAACTTCTATAATTTTAAATTATTTTAAAATTTCTAATATAATATATGATATTTTTCAAATTTTCGGAGGTGCGACCACCCCCAGTCCCCCCTAGATCCATCCTTGAGAATAATGGTATACAAACTTTAAAAATAGTAATGCTATCTCTATTCAATTGGGTTCATTGTCCAAATGAGGTGAGAGGTGTTACTGTGTTTGTCGCAGTTGTCCCAAAGTTGTGTGGGCTTCATACACTAGTTCAATTATGCATGATAATTAACAGTTACGGTTGATAAGAGTGACATTGATCATTTGAACAAATGTCGATTGACACATCAATCATTCAAAAAGTTGTTTGACTAATCAAGAGTGACAATCTCAACTGACAAGAATGACGCTGATCATCCGGAAGGTCATTCGGTCGATCGTCCGATTGGTTTGGATGATTGAAACGTATGGGTCTTTTTTGAATTTGGAGGTGCCACGTAATTCAAGCATAGTCAAACATCTAATATTCGGTGATCAATTATTTTTCTTTAAAAAAATTATATAACACTTGTTTCGGATGATCTAAATAAGTGTATTTTTTAATTTTTTACGAAAAGATGTGCAATAAAGTATAGAGGTGATGTGGCCCAAAAAGATAAAAAGTATACTTATATAGTATATCCCAAACCAAGCCTAGTGAACTTTTATTTTAAAAGAAAATATTTATTAAGATATAAATAATTTGAAATAATTATTCTTTTATAAAAGTAAGTGAATTTATGTCCAGTACAAGTGAATGATGCTAAATAAAAAGAGTAATGCTAGAGATATCAAAAAATTTACCAAAAATTTTACCAAATGTCTGACATGAGTGTGAGACCTACACAATATGAGTCTCATATAGGTCTCACACCTATGCAAGACATTTGTTGAATTTTTTTATCGTTAACATTTTTGGAATAGAAAACACATCTCATTTGCTCAATTTTCGAGTTCTTCTTAAAAACGTGTTGCATGCTTCTTTACTTCAAAAAAAAATGGGAGAAAAAAAAAAGAAAAAAAAAGCATAAGCATGTTTAACTGCTTACCGGATCGTCAAATAATACATAAATGGGCCATGAATCTAGATTTCAGAGCCATTCGAATAAAAGCCTACACTAAATTTGTTTGGGATTAGAAGGATGTGTGCTATAATTTTATTGAATATTAAATTCATATTTCACTCATAAATCCTTTTTATTAAACGAAAATTACAAAAAAAAATGTTAACAATATAAAATAATTACAATTTCATGAAAATATAAACAATTTAGAGAAAATTGTTAAAAAATCTAAGTTAAAAAAGGTATGGCGTATTAGGTCATGTAGATATTTTTTTGTTGGTGAAAGGTGTTGGAACAATCTTCTGTGCAAATGAAATAAATAGAAACAAAGCCAAACAAAATAAAATAAAACTCACACAATTTATTTTGTTGAACCGAATTTAAAAATCAAAAGACCAAGTTGAGTGTATGACACTCTGTCCTTAAGACAAATTCGCCCCGCTACGGTGCTTACGGTTGAGTGGCGTCTATCTCCCAGGATACAATGATCTTAACCAATTTGTAGTAACACTCCAAAACAAATTGTTCGGCGAACCAAACCTGTATTCTAACTCTCTGATTATTTAATCTAAAACTAATATATGAAGAATAAATGCACTAGAGCAAAATCTGGACAGCAAAGGCATAAAAGCAGACTGATTTTCGGATCTGTAAAATGCTGAAATATGGTGCGTATTTATAGGGCCAAACAGGTATGAATTTAAACCTTAAAAGGTATGAATTCAAACTAGACAGGTGCAAAACTCAAACAAACAGATTCGGTTTCAAACTATGGCAGTTTTTCGGACAGATAACTGCCCAGCAGTTTGAATCTGTCTGGAAAACAGTTTGGAACTGCTGGACAGTTACGGAAGTTAATACCTGTTTGAAAATGGAATCAGTTTTGTCATGGACTGAATAAGGAAAGAATTTAATACACAAATTAAATTCAAATTTGAATTTAATTAAATTTTCCTGCAATTAATTTTTGAAAAAATTCAAACGAATTTTTGTCCAAAAAATTAATATTAGAACCGACCCGACCCACCACCCACACCCACGCTAGGCTCGGCTCGGCCGGACGAACGGACGGCGGCGCGCACGCGTGTGTGGTGGTTTAGGCTAAGGTTTACTTTGTCCATAACTCCTTCCTTCTACAAACTTGGGGTGCCCCTTGGGGCCCAACCCAAGTATTGTAGGCTATAGCTTATATACACAAATAATCTCTCTTAAATTTTCAATGTGGGATAACCCTTTCCAAAGAAACCCACATTTATTTCCTTAAATTTTCTATTCGATGAACCCGAAAACAACGTCATATTCCCATTCACTCATAAATAGTTTTGATGAACCGTCTTCACCGTGTGACTTGCCACGCGGCAAGTAACACTTCACCTCCTCGGACCCACCCCAAAAGACGTTTGGGGCCCAATCAATTTTGGGCTCAAAGTTGGCCCAAAATAAGCCTTATAAAACACCCTTTTTCCAACAATCCCCCACATGAATGGAATTTGACGAAAAGAAAATGCAACAACATGATCTAAATACAGAGAGTATAGAAATTGGAAATATTCTGCAAAGGATAGATAGCTTTTGGCTTTGAACCTTCCCTTGTGAGACACTATCGAATTTACTAGCTAACCAGTGAACATGATGTCTTGAACTGTTCAGCTGTTTGTGTAAACCAAGACAATAGAACTCACACAGTATATCCCCAGACACAGTTTAGTTCTCACTATTGTGTTCATTTTGGCCCTGAACAACCTGGTCTTTCATGAGTACTCTAGAGAATTGTAGCCCTTCACAAATCTCACAGAACCGGCCCATTTCACACTCACATAGGTGATGCTTATGAAGAGTAACCTGCCATACTCCACTAGGTTTACCTAGATATAAAATCATTAAAATTTTACTTAACCTCAACGCTGCTGTAGACACCCCATTTTTGACCGTCCTCAAGGCTTGGACGTCATCGTCTAGAACACTAGATGATCATCCATGCTCATGTTCGTTTTGAGTTCCGGAGTCTCGGCCGCGCGCCTTGCCTTAAGATCTCTCAACTTGTTGTCTTGTGCTTGGTTGT